CTTCCCCGAAGGAGAAAAAGGGAGGTTGGAAGAGAAAGCCCGCTAAACCACTCACGACCTAAATGGCTGGCGGGATTTTCTTTGTCCTGGTCACATGATTTTGTTATCATTCGTATTGGTTGTCTTCTGATTGCGAAGGCCTTACGGTCGGTGCCGCCTACCCTGAAGGGGGCCGACGAACGGCGACGGTGGCGACGACGACGCCCGCGAGCCCCCGTGGGGGCAGGAGTTGTTGGCCTCGGGACCCCTCCCCGGGACCCCCCTCCCAGGACCCCTCCCCAGGACTTGCATGTCGGACTAATCCTTTCTAGTTTGGACAAATCAAAAAAAAACTTGCATTTTCCACCAGCACGAAAAAGCCAAACTGGTACTAATTCCAACCAGGTAGTCTGCTTAGGTGTGCACATGTATTCCAGATGCTCACATGACTGATCGGGTTGGAATTTGTACCTAAACGGCTTGGGATGATGTGGAACTCAGGTGTGGATGTGGATGACGGGACGGTGTTGATGAATCGGTACTGAATTGTTTTTAGCACGAGAAAGGAAAATTACATCCTCAGACAATCGGGATCAGGGTTGTCCAGGGATTTTACTTTAAGGGCTTCGAGGCTTAAGGGTTTACGGCTTTGTGGGCTTGAGGCTCGTTGGTTTGAGAGAAAGGGTTGTATGATTAAGATTTAAAGGGTTCAAGTGTTTAAGGGCTTACGGGTTGAAGGGTTGACATGTTTCAGGGTTTACGCATTGAATTTTTTAAGGGCGTAAGGGTAGAAGGGAGTAAATGTTGCCAGGGGGATTTTAAGGATTAACTGGGTTACGGGTTGAAGGATTTAAACGTTTAAGGGTTTAAGCTCTTCTGAGGGTTAAATGCTGAACGGCTTGCGGGTGTAAGGGCTTAGTGGCTTAAGGGTGTAAGGGCTCATGGAGTTAAGGGGTTAATGATTTGAGGATTTGACGCTTCATGGGCGTGAGGGTATAAGGGTCTAATGGTTTGAAGGGTTGAAGGGTTGAAGGCTTAAGGGTTGAATGGTTTAAGGGCTCGAGGGATTCGGCGACGGCGCCGTTTGCCGAGGTCCGCGACGACCACCCACCGGATGTGGGAGCCACTGGGCACGGCCAGAGGAGGAGGGGGTGGAGGAGGAGGGGCTTGAGCACAAAGCGGGCTGGAGCGAAAAGGGGATTTGAGGAGGAGGAGGGGGTGGAGGAGGAGGGGTACGAGGGTGGAGGAGGAGGAGGAGGAGGAGGAGGAGGAGGAGGGTGGAGGAGGAGGGGGAGGAGGAGGAGGAGGAGAGGAGGAGAGGAGGAGGAGGAGGAGGTCTGAGCAGAAGCCTCAGCCCAGGTGGCCACGGCGAGGGGGCCGGCTGCGAGCAGTGGCGGGGGGGAGGACGAGCGCCCTGCGGGCGGGCGTCGGGCACGGAGGCCGCGGGCAGCTCGGGCCGGGCAGCGGCCCTGCCGGGGCTGGAGCCCGAGCCCTGGCAGCCAGCCCGCACAGGGAGGGTGGGCAGCCTTCCCAGGGATGCATCCTGGCATCCTTGCCTCCTTGCACCCTTCCCAAGGATGCATCCTTGCATCCTTGCCAAGGATGCACTTTTGCATCCTTGCCTCCTTGCATCCTTCCCAAGGATGCATCCTTGCATCCTTGCCAACCCGCATAGTAAGGGTGGGCAGCCTTGCCAAGGATGCATCCTGTCATCCTTGCCTGCTCGGTCCATCCTTGGCCACTCTCGTCGGCCGCGCCCCGCTCGAGAAGCTTCGGCATGGGCGTCTAAGGCCCTTGCATCCTCATCGCTCATCCGTATGATACGGGCCGATTGTACAAGACGCCGAAACACAACGGACGGGACTTGAGCCAAAATGGCCGCGGTGGCGGAGTGGGGGGGAGGAGGAGGAGGAGGAGGAGGAGGAGGAGGAGGAGGAGGAGGAGGAGGAGGAGGAGAGGAGGAGGAGGAGGAGGAGGAGGAGGAGGAGGAGGAGGAGAGGAGGAGGAGGGAGGAGGAGGGGGAGGAGGGGGAGGGGGAGGAGGAGGAGGAGGAGGAGGAGGAGAGGAGGAGGAGGAGCAGGAGGAGGAGGGGAAGTAGGGGAGGGAGAGGAGGATCAGGAGGAGGAGGGTGGTGGAGGAGGAGGAGGAGGAGGAGAGGAGGAGGAGGAAGAGAGGAGGAGGAGGAGGAGGAGGAGGAGGAGGGCGAAGGCGGAGGAGGGGGAGGGGGAGGAGGAGGAGGAGGAGGAGGAGGAGAGGAGGAGGAGGAGGAGGAGGAGCAGGAGGAGGAGAGGAGGAGGAGGAGGAGGAGGTGGAAGAGGCGCGGGAGAGGCGGTGGCGCTGGCGGAGTGGCTGAAGGAAGGAGCTTGCGAGTGAGGAGGGGGCGGGGAGGAGGGGCCTCTCACACGCCTTACAGGCATCTTACAGACTCTGGTAAGACTGCTCCCAGAGGCGCTCCTAAGACGCCTGTCAGAGGCGCCTCCCAGAGACGCCTCTCAGAGGTGCCTGTAAGACACTTCTCAAAGACACTTGTAAGACGCCTCTCAGAGCTGCCTGTAAGACACCTCGCAGGGACGCCTCTTAGAGACGCTTCCGAGACGCCCGTAAGACGCCTCTCAGAGACGCCTGTAAGACGCCTCTCAGTGACGCCTGTAAGATGCCTTTCAGTGACGCCTGTATGACGCCTCTCAAGGACGTCTTTGAGAGATGCCCGCAAGACGCCCATAAGACGCGCGTGAGGCTTCTCATGCAGGTTTATCGGAATTCATGGCAAAGCGGTTGGGATTAGCACTAAAGTGGCTAGAAGTTGTATGTATTTTGTCCCATTTCCAGGACCCCCCCCAGACTGCCCTTGGCGATCCCCCTCCGGGATAGCCTTCGCGCGCCGGGGAAGGGATCAAAGGGAAGGGGCTTCCCTTCGACTTGCTTGGTGTTCCCCCTCTTGCGGCTCTGTGGGGCTCTCTTGGTCGGAGTATCTTGGAGTCATGATCCTCGGGGCCTTGCCTGGAATCCCTGGGACCCCCCCCCCCGGGACTCCCCGCATGGCGGGGAAGGAATCAAAGGGAAGGGTTTACCCTTTGACTCGATAGCGACGTCGTTCGATTTCCGTCTGGCTGTATCGCTCTTGGAGGAGGGCCCATGGAAAGGAAGAGACTGGCGACGACGACGACGACGACGGCGAAAACGGAAAAGGGGAGCGGCGACGGCGACGACGGCGACGACGACTCAAACGGAAAAGCGTCTCACACACGCCGACAGAGTCGGCGGATTTGTCCTCCTTCTCCTCCTCGTCTTTATTTTTCGCCCCTCTTCACCCTTCCCTCTTCCCTCAGCCTCCTCCCGTTCTCTCCCCTCTCCCGTCCCCTCCCCATCTTTCCGTCTTTCATCCTCCGCCAGGCCGTAAGGAGAGCGCAGCAAGGCGGGGGATCGCCAGAACGGTTGACCTCGATCGGTTCTCGACTCGGTCCGTGTCTCCCGCCTTGAGATGTTATTTGATCCCCTGGCGCGTGACGGTCGTTACCCGGGCACTTCCGCCCCCCCCCCCCATCCCCCCCATGGGGTACCAGTGACGATCGCACGTAGGGTTAAGTCGGGCCTGTCCCTCTACAGGGGGAACGTTCAAAAATAGTCCAAACATAGTCTGGGGACTATTTCCGACCATTTTTGGGCATGTGGGGGATATTTTTGTTGTTGTATTTTTCATTTGTCGTCCAAAATTCCCCTGTAGGAGGACAGACCCAACTTAAACGCAGGGTGGGGGGCCTGGGCCCTCCCCGACGTGCGCATGCTGCGGCGATCGCAGCGCACCCCCGCCCCGACGAGCCCCTGCCCGCCGAAGCGATACCGTGACCCCGAACCCCCCCACCCCACCCCACCCCGGGCGGCCACCGCTGCCCGGAGATCGTAACATCTCAGCCAGCGTGGGCCCCAAACGGTGCGCTCCAGCGTGCAAGTTCGTGCAGTCTGTGTGGCGCGGCCTGTGTGGTGCAGCCTGTGTGATGTAAGCTGTGTGGTGCATCCTACGTGGTGCAGTCTGTGTGGGGTAAGCTATGTGGTGCAATCTATGTGGTGCGCCATCTACGCGGTGCAATCTGTGCAGTGCAACAAACGTGTACATATACACATCTACACATATACATATGCACAGCATACTTGATGCACTCTATGTTGAACCATATGCGTGGTGCAGAACCTGTGGTGTGGTGAAGACGATGTGGTGCAACCTACGTGGCGCAATATATGTTGTGTAAGCTACGTGGTGCAATCTAGGTGTTGCGCGACGTGAGAAGCAATACATGTGACGTAAGCTGTGTATGTGGTGTGAGCCACGTTGCGTAAGCTATGTAATGCTAGGCGGTGTAACCATCTAGTGCAACACATGTGGTACAAGCAATGTGGTGTAATTTATGCGGTGCAATCTACGCAATCGATTGCAATCGATTGCATTGCAGTCGATTGTAATGCAACGGGGGGCGTGCACCAGGGCTGCGGCGACGGGTGGCGACGGCGACAACAAGAGCGGCGACCGACACCCAGGCGCAATGGAGCGGCGACGGACGGCAGCGACGGGCGGCGACGGCGACAACAAGCGCGGCGACGGACACCCAGGCCCAGAAGCAGCGGCGATGGACGGCGTCGACGGGCGGCGACGGCGGCAATAAGCCGGTCTGACTGACACCCCAGTCCCAGTTCCCCGTAGACCACATAAGAGCCCCTGAGTGCAAGCACTGTTTTTGGGAAAGACGATGTCCTTCGTTCGACCACCCCTGGCCCCCCTGGCCTGTATGTATCGGGGGTGGACAGAACCCCCAACAGTGACACGTCGATTAGTGAATTGTCCGTTTTCGGTTCTCGAGAGGGCGCCGTAGCCGTTATTTTCCAGGCTTGCGCCCGCCAGGTTTGGGCCTCAGGTTGTTTTCACTAAACCACGTTTTACTAAAGGGGGGTCTGTCCATCCCCGAATGTAGCAAGGCCGAGCGGCCCAAGGGGCTCGGCGTCTGCAGCAGCGCCGGGCCCGCCCCCAGGCTTTCAACCGCTCCCACATACACGGCGCGTGGTGGCTGGAGCACCTGGCCCAGGCGCCGCGAGAGGAGGAGGATGAGGAGGAGGAGGAGGAGCATGGTTACTCGTCGGTCGTTGATAGCAGGTGCTCCCGGATCCCCAGATCCCAATCTGCTTCGGCAGCCTTCCCGCTGCCAGAGTGGAGCGGTCTTCCCTCTGGCCTCCTCTTCAGGGGGCGGGCGGAAGCCCAGTCTGCTTCCAGCGCCTTCCCACTTCATGGCTCTACCCGCACTTAGGCAAGCCTAGTTGGGGAATCGACATACATTTAGATGTATGTGTATATATATATATATATATATGTGTGTATATGTATATATATACACAGAGAGGGCTGCCATGATCGCTCAAAGGCTTCGCGACATTGCTCTTTCTAGCCAGAGCCACCGAAACCACCTGCGGCTCAGTTTGTGTAGAAACATGTTCGAAACGTACGATGTTTTGCTAGCAGTGTTTTGGCTGCAGACGCGCTCGCGTAGAGGCCCTCGGAGTGCCCGAGAGCTTCACAAGGGCCCCCCCGCAAGGAACTCAGAGGGCCCCAAGGCGGTCTAAGCGGGACCCTGGAAGTCCCCTAGACGCTCCGAATATTTCCCACGAGAGCTCGAAGAGGCTGCCAAGACGGCCCAAAGGCGCCCTCGTTGCTTGGTGACTTCTCGCGTCTGCACCACGGTGGGGTCGAGTGGAGGCCAGTCGCTCGTGGGCTTCGTCGCCAGAAGGCCCGCGGCGACGCGTCGAGGGCGGCCCGAGATTGCTGGCGCTGCCGTCACAGCTCTTGGAGCTGTGGGTGGCCACCTCGTGGCTGGCCGTGGTGTGGGCGCCTTCTTGGGCGGGTCTCTCTTCACCCGCTGTGGCTTCGGAGGGGCACCAACAGTGCACCACCAGCCAGCCCTGGCCAGGGTGCGCCTGGCCAGGGCCTGTGGTGGTGTGGTGCTTGGAGCTCTCCTGGGGCTGCTTCTGCCACCAAGCCTCTCGGTCCAGATGTGCTGGCTGTTGGTGCCTTGGCTGGCCCACTGGCCAGAGCTGCGCTGCGCGTTCGCCGCCAGTCGTAGTGATTACTCGCTCGGGTGATTTCCTCCCGCTCTTCACTGGCGCGCCATCCATCCATCCATCCATCCATCGATTTTGGCTCCAGAGCAATTCCTCCAGGGTCTTGCTTCGAAAGGAAGAGGCAGAGGCAACACGGAGGCCCGACACGATTCAGACGCGGCATTTTGTTTCGTCCGCATTTCAGTAGCCTTTCAGTTTTCCCGCACGCCATGTTGCCAGGTGCTCCTGGCACAGCCTCCTCAGCCGTTGGCGTTCCTGGCCAGCAACGCGTCAATTTCCCTCTCGCTCTCGACTGATGATGAGATGGCAGATGGAGGCCTTGATGCACCAGGTGAGGGAGGTAGAAACGGTCGACGTAGAAGTGGTCCTTATGATCCGTCGGCCTCCGCCCAACGTCACGGTCAGACCACTGTCTTGGACGACGGGCAACCAGGCTCTTGCAGGCCATTGGTGGCATGTTGAAGGACGCCATCGAGCATCAAGAGAAGGATATCCAGCTCATCAGACAAGAAGCAAAATCAGTGAGATCTTCTGTATCTTCCGTGGAGAATTAAGCATCTCCCACTCGAGCAGAGAAACATATCCAACCACGACCGTTTCAGGCAGCACACTTCCATCCATGTTGTCGGCAGCGTTGTCTTCAGCATCGACTGCAGCCTTCATCCCCCCTGGCAGGAGAAAGGTAATTTGCGTAGGCGGTTTCAAATACGAGGCCGTTGAGAGCCTCGTGAACCAAATGAATACATACTTAGCGGCGCAGGCGATCCGCTACGACAATATGTTAGCAATTGGAACCTATTGCGAGCGGGTGAAGGTACACTTCAGGGACTCCAGCACCATGTGAGGTTGCTTGGAAGGACTGAAATGCAAGGTGCTCGGCGGCGGCAGTTTCAGGGCGACAGGAAGAACCTCATTGTGGCACAACATCGATTGGCTTGGCTGTGAGATCGGCGTGAGCAAGCAGCAGGTGAAGGGGGACAGCTTGTTGTGATCTCAACATCATTTCCGAGCCCCCAGGCCCGCGATTTCAAGAGTTGCTTTGGCATCAAGAGAAACAGGGGCGAGGTAGTCGTTTTGCCCAATAGTCTTCCTGGGGCCGCGCGCATGGGTGGCACGATCCAAACTTTCGGGTCGCGTCGGCTGGCCCACAAGGCGAAGATTCCTCCCATCGCGAACGCTTTGCTGAACAACTTGTAAATTTACCTGAAGTTAGGGAGCGAGCTCTCGGATATTCATGCTGCAGGAGACACGCGAAGAGGGGTGTCTCTAGCACAGCAGAGGTGGCAACGGAGAAGGCTTCTCGACCATCCATGTGCCATTTCGTGGAATGTCAGAGCATTCTCTCTGACATGGGATGCCCTGGCGCATGTGATTACGTCAGAGCTGCTTCGCCCTACGTACTGCAGAGCCTCCAGAGCAGATCGATGGACATCGGATTTTTCTGCCCCCCCCCCGAGAGGCAAGGGTAGTCAGCATGCGGTCATCATCCGTCGAAGCTGCAGCTGCTAGATGCTCAGCGTTGCTCAAGGCGCCAGATGCGTCGGTGCACTGTGCGAGCATCCTGGTCATATGCGCGTCTCGGTGTGATCGGTCCACCTCCGCCGTTCGAGGGGTAGGAAACTGCCGATGGAGAACCCCGGCGAGATTTCGTCAGCATGCATTCTGGGTCCCGACTGAGACCATGGTGGGCATAGGCGCTGACGCTGACGCCCATGTGGGTTTTCTTGCGGGCCCCGACCTCGACCCCGCCCACGTCGGCCCGCGCGCTCGCTCCCCCCGCAAACCCCATCGACTCGATGGACTAGCCTGGGAAGCCCAGGAGTTGTATCTCTTATTGACGGACTTCGGACTGCGCGCTGAAAACATTGTCCATCGGTCCATTGGTGTAGATATGGCCCCCGCGCGCGCTGCCCTGGCCCCGGACAGCGGCGCGACCCGAAACATATCGACTACGCATTAACCCGTTCTTGCTCCGTTCGGCTACTTCCTGCGCGTCTGAGTTCTCCCCGGCTAGGACGTCAGACCACGTGCCCCTCGGACTCCAGAACCGCGTGCAGGGTCCCACTTCGAATTTGATCGCGGCTGCGATTCGACCTCCGCTCCCTCCGAATCCGATTAATTGGACCTGCGACGACGTCGCGAGTTTCCAGAACGCGATCGACGACGCCTTGGACACCGACCGACAGGGCGACTCATTCTCTCTTCAAGGACGAGGAGGAGACGTCCGGCTCATTCCTGGATGGCTCATTTTACGACGCGCACCGCGGGGCCATCATCGCGACGGGGCGGCGCGGGGGGCGCCCGCAGGGCGTGGGAATCGCGGCGGCGGGCCGCCCAGCAGAAGGTCGCGGGCCCCCCTTTTCCGACGCCCGACGAGGTTGACTGCTCGGCCGCTCGACCACTCGCCATCGCCCGCTGGCCGCAAGAAGCCCGTGAGACCCTCTTGGACGGGGCCCCTCCTGAGGGGGGGGAACAGCATCTGGGCGGCCCCTCCGAGTTCCGCCCGCCTGATCGACGCCGACTTCCTTCCGCCCCCCCGTCTCCGCCCCGCTCCGCGGGGCCTCGGCGCAGATGCCAATCGACGACCGACCATGCTTGAAACCGATCCCCTCTCGAGGCCCCCCCCCGCCCCTCCCCGCGCGCCGCTCGACCTCGTTGGCGGGCGCTTCGCCGACCGGCGCGGCCGCCCCCCCCCACCCCCCTCCTTTTTTCTTTTGGAAGTTTTGGCGCGCGCCGTTGCGACTGCCGCCGCTCGGCGCGGTCGACGACGACCCAGAATCACCGCCGCGTGAGACAGACGGGGTGATGAGGAGCCAAATCGAACATATTCAGACGCCTCGTCTAAATGCCGACCCCCCAGGTCCTCCGACGCAACCATATCGCGGCGGAAACGCCGGTATGACAGATGCAACGCGCCCGCCGCGATCGCGAACGCGAGCGGCTGCTCGGCCAGGGTCGCCCAGTCCGCGGCGCGCCGCCCCCGCCCGGCAGGGCCGCGCGCCCAGTGGGACGGGCGCGCTGACCGTGTGCGCCGAGGAGATGCGGCGAGCGGCCGAGCCTTCTGCTTTCGGCGACCCACGCCGTTCAAGAGACGCAATGCCCCCCCCCCGCCGCGTCGATTTCGGGGCAGAGAGCTCGGCGGGTTTTCCCGACCACGAAGGGAGGTAAGTCTCGCTCTCCCGGCGAAGTGCTCGCGGTCGAAATGTCCGACCCCGCTATCGACGAGCCCCTGGGGCGGGGCGAACGCTGCGGGCGCTTCGTCGAGAAACTTTCTATTCATCAAGAAATGGCGCCTTGTCGAGCGCTCTCGGTCCTTTGGAAGGACCGCGCGCAGGTCCTCTCCGAGCTGGCGAGGTCGGGGTCTAGGAGCATCTGAGCCAATGGGTTCGCCTTTCTTCCAGCTCAGCCGACGGCAGAAGTAACCTTGTCTATAGACAAATCGTGGAAAAAAACAATCGGCCTCTGCATTCCTCTTGAATGAGGTTGCTGGCGATATCTACAAGCGCTGCGATTGCGTGGGCCGCGGAGCCCGGTGCCAGTCTTTTAAGGTCGCAAGTGTACCCGACATCCCCACGGCGGCTACGATCCGCGAAGTGCGTCGGGACAGCCGCCTTCTGAGTCTTCCGAGGCCCCCCCCCCATCAACGCCCTTTGCCGGGGCTCGCTCGACATATCAAGGTGGCCCCAGTGAATCCGAATGTGCAACCTCATCATGAATCACTCCCTCATCTTACCCTTCCTCGCGCCATGGAAAAACGAAGGCTGGGGGGGGCTGGGGGCGTCCGATCGACCGCGATGATTTACGTAATTACTCTGGGCACGCAGTACAACGGCCATTCTAAAGTCGATCAGTTCGCCCACCCGATCCCGAGGATCCCAGTGCTGATCTTCGCCGATACTTTTCGACTGCTAGGTGTCTCGCTGTCGATGGTCGCGCTCATGGCCGCCGCCTGGCACAATCTCGTAAGACTGGC